CAAAAACTTAATCAAATTTGATATAGAATTTTTAAATTAATTTTATAAACATAAAACTAATTTAAAAAATTTTTTATCAAATTTGATCAAGTTTTTGTTAAATTATTTTGGTTTAAAATTTTTAAAAAAATTTATTATAAACAATTTGCTTGATTTCTATTGACTTACCCCATAAAATAACTTATATATCGACATAGCTTTCAATTGGTGCATACGGATGCAGTGTTATCATTGGACAGCTTTGAACATAAGTTTGGATTTTTTGAATATTTTGACCAAATAACGATAATTAAAATTACTTAAAACTTTAAAGATAAAATATTTTAATAATTTTCTAAAAAAAAATATTTAAAATTAAAGAAATATATGTATAATCGTGTATTTTTTATACAATTATTTATAGGAATTTGAATATTCTTGGACAGTACATTTCAAAAAGGCTGTGGATATCAAAAAAGGTACAATACTGTCCTGTGCATATATATGTATTTTCCATTTAATCCAAACTTTAATAAACAAATTCAACACACTACATTTAAAGAACCCATAAATGCAAACAATTTCCATTTGAATTTTAAGCCACTTTAACAAAATTAGTAACATACGTAATTACATCTCGTTAAACAAATATTAGACAAATCTATTGATAAAAATTATATTTTGCCCACTTTAAATGATAATATTCATTTTATATGCATGAGTTTGTGTAATTTTATTGAGAAAATAAACTAAAATGAAACGTTTTTGCTGTGATGAAAGAAACAAAAATAATTATATTCCCCTCCCCTAAAAGGAAATATTTCAAGTTTGAATACTGATCATAAATGCGGATACCCTTTGAAAGTGATTAAGTTGTGAATATTATTAGCAATTATCCTTTGTGAATAAATTAAATTTTAACCTTTGTTAAGAGGCAGAACCGTTTCCACCACTACGACGTTCGCGTGTTTCGCGTGTTGAACGCCTAGAACTGCGGGCACGACGCGAAATTGATGGCGACGTAAGTGGCATGCCGATACTATCATCTGGTGTATATCCTCTTGTAGGTCGACGTCGTTCTGTTGGTGGTGGTGATGGTGACTCGGAAGATCTTGAAACGCTTGGATTTGGATGTTCACCAGTACCTGTGTCGCTATACGGAGATATACTCCTACCTCGACTACCTCTACTACGTGACCTTTCAGATCTGTCTGACCTAGTAGCTTCAAGATATGGCTCACCCAAACTTTCATGTAATACATCAGGTTCCATATGTGTTGTTCGTAGTTGAGGATCTGAAAATTCTTGTGAGGAATGGGCCATGTACTCTGATGATTGTCGTGACTGTGGACGAACGTCTCCAGAGGTTCTCGGAGAACGAACTGGTGATGTTGTATATTCATGTCTCATAGGTGAGGGCATTTCTTGTAAATAATCAGCAGAAGGATGATGTGATGTCATATACAGACTTTCTCCTGGTTGTTCCGGATCGACTCTGGGAAGGCTTCGTT